ATGTTGGCGATCCCCGTGTACGGGCCTGTAAGCATAAAACAAGTTCTGTTTACATATATGCTACGCTTACGAAAGATTACCTCTATTTTTAAAGTGAAAGTTTGTTATGTGATTGGAACTTGTGCTTCCTCAGTCTGCAACTTTTCTTGCCCAGGCCTTCTAAATGGCATGAAATTACCAACTAAAGTTGCAGTGCCAGATCCGCCCGGACCAAGCCGAAAACGTTTTGAAGAGGCAGCGCAGCAGTCAAAAGAATACCGCTCGGGAGCTAGAAATGATGGCAGTTGGCAAAGTCAGCCGCAGTGGTCCGGTAATCCTGACGGGTTTGAGCAACAGTGGACGTCACCATATGCGCCAGAGGGGCAGTGGAATCAAGCTGGAAGATCGGAGCTTCCAAATAGGTTACTTCTTCCTCTTTCGTGATTGCATCACTTTCTCTATCAGTAGAACATATGTTTTAGCATGTGAAAAGCGAGTAAGGTGAATGAATGAGAGAAAATACCCAGCGTTTTCAGTATTTCTTTTATTACGGAAATCAGTTTTTTATCAGATTGATATGAATCCAGAAAATTCACACGTTTATTTGCAGATCATTTAATCGTTCCGATACGAGGACGAGTTGGCAACCAAATGTTCCCGCAAATGTGAATTCGCCTGCGCCGTTCCACTTCCAAAACATTCCTTCCACTAAACCAGGCTTTCATCGTAACACTCAAGGAAAATTTGCGAGAGGTAATTTCTTTAAAAAATATGCATATATAAAACTGAAAAAAAAATGCATGTATAAAACTGGAAAAAAATGGTGTCATGTCGAGTTTTTATGCGTTTTTTTGCAGCTATGCAATGCAGAAAACGCATATTGACGAGGGGTTATCTGTGTGTGTCTGTGTGTCCGTGTGTGTGTCTGTCACGGTTTCTCATCTTAAGACCTACAGAAGCTACAGGGCTGAAACTTTGGGAATTTAATCAACATGCACGTACGGGCCCTTATCCCCAAAGTGGGCGCCATTACCCGCGTGCGGGCCCGCTAATATTTTTTTCGGTTAAGTTCATAACTGGGGATCTGAGAAGCTAGGAAGCTGAAATCTTAGGAGGATGCTCCGCGTTCAAGTGGGTATTAGTGAGCTCAAATCAGCTCCCGAGTAAGCGTGGCACCCACATACGGGCCCACCAAAATTTTTTTCGGGTAAGTTGATAACTGGAGTACCTGAGAAGCTAAAGGAATGTAATTTTCAGAGGATATACCTCGTCCACCTAAGTTTCATTCTGGTAAACATGCACGGGCCCGTGAAAGTTTTTTTCCAGTAAGTTGCTAACTGAGGAGCCGGGGATGCTAGAAAGCTGGAATTTTAAGGGGGTGTTTTCTAACAGTTCTGGCGGCCAGTCTTAATTTGTTTAACTAGAAGCATTTGCCGAAAAAGCCGGTGCCGGTAGCAATAAAAACTGCGGGGAACTATGCAAAAAACGCATCTTCCCACGGGCAGCCCATGCGTTGGCCAGTTTTTTTTTTAAGTCTGCCCCGGCGCTCTAATCATTTTCGGAATTTTGCAAATTTTAATCTTTTTTTTCTGGCTTCCTGTATATTTCACATTTTTTATGCGTTTTGTGCTGTGTAACAGCAGTACAAAACGCATATTGTCACGGGGTTGTCTGCATGTGTGTGTTTGTGTGTGTGTCCGCAGCAACTTGTCTGCTACTTTTGACTCGGGAACCACAAAAGCTAGGAAGCTGAAAATTTAGGGGAACGTTCCCCACCCACGTGTGACC